AGAACGAAAAATGGAATTTATTTACGACCTATTCAACGGCTTTATCCACTTGAAGTTCAATCTAAGGATGACCACATTCATAAAGCTCAAAATTATCAACCTGAACCTGAAACTCATTATAATACGACAAAAGGAAAAGAAGAGACAAATGTGAAGACTAATGAAACACAAGTTCAGACCCAAAGTGGGAGAAATAAAAAAGCCAACCAAATTGGACTTGTGAAAGAGTTTGAAGATTTTTTTTTAAAAGGGGGGAGAATGTTGGAAATGTTTAACTTTTTAACTTAGTCCCCTTTGGATTATTTTGTAACAACACTTTGAGAAACACATGTTATTAATTTGCATATGTCTTAATAATGTTATAATTGTTTTGTAGAAATATAATAAACAAAAAATGTAACTTTTTAAAACTGGTTTATTTTAATTTTTGTAGAAAATCAGTTTAATTAAGAGTTTTGTTACACATACTTTGTGTCTAGACTGTACATCTGTATTGTTGTAATAATAATGTGTCTATCTTTCCGTCGCAAAACTTGCTGAAATTTGATACAGAAATAATTGTTATACCGCAAAGATGATATAGTTTTTTTGGTCGTCTTCGTATTGACTTGAAATTCCTGTAGGAGTTTAGAAATAAATATTCGTTGATACGTATCATAAAAATACAAAAACTGGGATGTGTTTGTTGCTTTGTTCAGCGATCACTTCTTCCAATTTTTTTAAGAGTTAAGATATCATCTTAAGGGCAGTTGACTGAAACCGCCTAAAGTTTTAACAATAACATTCACCTGTAATGTGGTCGGTTAGGTTGGGCACCAAAAGCTTATTAATAGACCTTCATACATTCAGGAAATTTATACAGTGAATAAAACAAACTCGAATAAAATAATGCGAATATAAACGAAGCAAATGTATACATAGTGTACAAAAAAGACAATTAATAAAAAAGGCTGTATATTTATAAATAAATGTTTAGTAGCATAGTATGTTCATAGAAATCCACATCAATAATTTTAAGAATAGATTCAACACTTTTTGGGTTGTATGAGACGAATTCGTTTTTTAATAATTAAATACAAAACAATGGTTAAATTGTTTGTGTTAAATACATGAGTGTATTATTAGAGACATTTACTTATAGTCATTAAGTTAATGTAGTGCATGTACCTACGTTACGTTTGAATTAAACATTAATTTCAAGTAGAATATAACATTAATATGGAATAAACAACTTTCGGTAAGTATATCGAACACAGTTAGTAAACCGTCGTAACATAAAATATTGATGGTTTTATAATATCGGGAGATACTTGGCGCACTGGAAGCAAATATCTTAAGAGTGTAATAATGAACGTAATATTTCATAAGACACGCTCAGCTACTGACGGGTATGAAATCAATTAAACTCGGTTCTCATCTTGGTTAAGTTTTATGTCGTTTTATCTCTAAAGCGATCTTTACCACTGAATATAGCATAGATAAAGATGATTCTCTTTTAATACATAAAATATCATAAATCATACAGTACTTTACTTCTTAATCATAAATGTTTGAACTTATGAAGCATATTATTATGCATACAAACTACATGTTTTAAGACAACGATTACAATAATTTTATACAGTAAAATTTTTTTTGAGACTGCATAAGGTACACCTGCATCATATTACCACGAGAATTTGAGTTATAGTTACCATGAGAATTATAGTTGTCAAATTACCATACAAAATGTATAAAATTACTATTACAAGATAACACCACTAAAATGACTTATTACTTTTTTTATACGTAAATGTTACTAAAATGTTCAGTTGAAATGTTACTTTTTAATAGGCCTAATTCAATTATTGTTTGAAACCTACTAAAACATTTTTTGAAGATATTTTTAGGTCTACTCGAGGTAGATTTTTTTGCCAACTCTGGTAACAATGCATCAGCAATATCACCCATCATGAATTCTTCTAATCACATTGTGATGTGAGTAACTGTAATATTAAAACAAGAATAAATTTACAAGGCCTTTTAAAAACACAATTAGAAGCATAATTAGTTGTTTAGTTAATAATGCATTCTGAGTGTCAAGTTCATTCGCAACCACATATTCTATGCAATTGTTTTAATTGCCAAACCACACGCCCACTGATGAAGTGGAATGAGTTTTGACCCTTTAAATATTTTCTGCCCTTTAAATATTTTCTGGCCATCAATTTAGCATACGTAGAGCGTTCACTAATTAGCCTTCAACAACCTAACGTCACGTTAGTTCGCATTGAACTCGATAGATATTCGCATATTATGGTGATTCAACATAAACTGAAAAATTGTGAGATACAATTGTCATGAACACCTGGGTTAAGTATTCCTATAAAACGATATGCTCGTGTAACAGACATTGCAAGTGAGCCAATGATAGCGCTGTTTGGTATTGGAGATAGATATCATTCCACTAAAATGATCTCTAAATTGCGCCGGAATTTCTAAGCCCAGTTCAGAATTGTGTGGGTAAACCTGGTTTTGTATAGTTATAGACGAATTTTAAATGTATACAATTGTAATAATATTTTAGTGGATTACACCAATGATTAGAACATGTCTCCTTCTGTTTAAACATTGCCTTTTGGATTTTTATGTAAAAATCTCAACTTTTGTTTAGAAAAAGGCAACTCTAAGAGTACACTACACTTATTTTTTGTACTGTACTGAAAAGGTTTACGTAGTATAAAAGCGTCTACAGCCTACAGTAAATCGTCATATCATTGTAGCTTAGTAAATAAATTTAAAAAAATATATATATTCACAAAAAATCTGCAATTATCATCAGCACTTTCTGCCAGTGGTTCAATGCAACTTCGTCATTTATGTTACTAAAAAAAACTGGCGGCTGCATTACCTTGGAGGTGGAATTTCCTGTTCTACCAACAATAATTAAATAAATGACCTATGAGATACTAGACCATTTAACATGATTCAGTTTTCACCCCACTAAATATCGACCAATCATCACCCGTGATCCGATTAATGACTGTGGTTCAGTTTTATGATCTCGGCACCAACACCAACACGCAACGAAGACTTATTTCGTCCATTCGTTTTAATCCGCGTTTCAGACGAATAGCCCGAGACGTTAGGCTACACCATTAGGCCTCAGATAAATCGGAAGCATTTTTCATCTCTACATGTCTTGGGAAGCTTTTGTCGAGCATCTCGCTAGGGAATTTGAGAGACACATCACTCTCACTTTTCATTTAGAGCGAATCTTACACCTAGTAGAATTCTGGAGAAGAATTATTAGGTTAATATATTCTTAACAGGTTTGCATTAGTTTAAGAATGTGCAGAATAAAAGTGTTGGCCATTAATAATTTTGGAGCAAGTGTTGTGGGGATAAACATGATGTTTTAGACAGGATTTCTTTTTATAAGCAGTAATAATCCATTATCTCGCATCCGTGGTCTGATAATAAAATTCGTAGAAACGAAGTAGATATTTGAAAAACACATGTTACGCACGATGTAACTAATCCAAACACGGCGACTTGGAGCTTAACTTAAACTACGCGAGTGGCGTGTTCATTTGTTGTATGAATTATTAAATCTATACAGAAATGTGTACATATTTAAAAAAATCTTTAATTGAAGGGGTCACAAACCGTAAACTTCTCCTAACTTATTTAAATGCAGTTAGATATTGTTAGATTGAGTTAGGACAAGGATTTGAATTAATATAACACTGGATATTGTATAAAAAGAATTGTTTATGATGAAAATAAATTTAATTTAATTTCAGAAGCAGATCACGAATTCAGACTTCAACTAGAAATAAAACACGTTTTACTTTAGCCTCAAAGATGCATATTCATATTTTATGCATTCTCGCCACGTTGCAAAGCACAAATAGTAATACTAATATCAAATAAGGATCACCTGTTTTCTTCTCATTTTATTACCCTTTCACAAAGTCAAATATGTTTATAACCGGTATAAATCATAAACAAATCAGATAGATACATTTTAAAATTGAACTTTATAAACATGCTTTTCTGTATACAAATTTTAAAGCAGCAAACCATTCGGTAAGTAGGGAAGAGACATGGTTGAGTATAAATAACTGAGATGGTTCGAAGAACGTCACCGATGTCAGCACGTGTGAAATGTGGTTTACAGTATCATTTCGTCACAAAACCGCCTCTGGTGAGCCTTCAGATAACGTCAGAACACAACATCACATCAGGTGACATGATTGAAAAAAAATTGTGAGTGATAATAGTTGTAGAGTGTGGGGTTACGGGTTCAGAGCAGGGAGCACTGTGCTCTCTGTTCCAGAGGTCCCGGGTTCATATTCCTCAAATCACCAAATTTTTTAGTTATACGATAAAGCCGCGACGATAAAGCCTTTTTTACGCTAGACACGAAGCAGTTATAGTTTTTCAGGCTGGACCTAAGGGTCCAACCAATTTGGCCAATTTGGCTAGTACAACTAATTTGGCGGGATTCAACCCGAGACCTAAGGGACCGAAGTCACGCGATATAACCACTAGACCGCTCTCGCCTAACTAAACAGTAGGAATAACCTAGAGTGAGGTGTACATCTCTCCGAGCAGGGGGATATCGTCGTTATAGGATGCGAAGGTGGGACACAGAATTTCTTACAAGTTTAGTGATCATCTCACTAAAATATTTGTTTCTGCGTTTGTTGAACAAATTAATGCTTATGGTTTTTTTTATGTGTTAGGCCTATAGCTTTTTAGACATATAATCAAATGTGAGATCATGCCATAATCAAGTTTAGGCTATGACCTCTAGTGGTGCCAGCGTTGACTTGAATTTATTATCGTGGTAAATAAAATTAGGCTACAAAAAAACTTTTTTGATGGGGTTTTTTTGCAGTGCGATATCTAACAATCCAACCAATAATTCAAAAATCGTGCACTATTATGTAAGTTACTTTTTTTCTTTCAACAATAGTCGAGGTATCAAGGTTAAACAGGTTAAAAGTACTTACATGATAATTCTCATGACGGATGCTAATCTGAAAATAAAACAAAAACTTATTAGTAACTTTTAACAAGAACTTTGATCAAAACTATCCAAACCAAGTTAATAGCAAAATGGTAAGTTTTATATTACTCGATCTTGTACTCACATAGTTTGACCAGTTCTTTATGCAAATAATGCTTACGTATGAGCCTTAAGAATATTGAGTTAAATTTTAAAACTTCAACACAAAAGAAACAAAAAACGTAGATAACAATTAAACCTTTGCATATTTTACAAGTTTAATTACAATTTCTCCATTGTTACCAGTGCTTAATCATTTCTCATTCCTACAATACACTGAATAAACAATCCGGCAGCTGGGGGAATTCACCCCTAACTCTTGACCCTCTGAAGCGTAAGGGAAGAACCCTCAATGTATACTGTATATCAGATTGAATAAGGAGTCCAGACCCTCCCCAGACACACGGTTCCGCCCTCACTGAAAACTATCACAAAGTTTGTTGTTTCACTTCCGTGCAGTTTGACTTAATTAAAACGTTCTTGGGGTCATTTTCAAACTGTTTGAATACATAAAAGATCGTTTCAGACAGTTTAAGATTGGTTTTAACATTTAAAAATTTAAAACGGTTCATATTTAATTGAATTTGTTACATATGTAAATCGAAATAATAAAACGTTAAAAAACGATATTTTAGTTCACGTGGCTAATCTCTTTATTTAAATCATGAGATTTGTAATAAACATTTAATTCACCTAAAGGAGGTAATTAGTCATAACATGTTTTAAACAATAATTCTTATTTAAAAAGTAGAAACAATTAAAATTAAATTAAAATCCAATTTTTTAAATGGGAACAGCACAAATATGTTTTACTGATGGTAAAATTTTATTTACGTGCCCAATTACCCTTTGTTTCAATTATAAAAGTCGAAATCAATATTTAATTCAACTAGGCCTAACGAAAGTAATTAGCATTACAAATGGGCAACGAGCTTCGCGTGAACATTAAAAATAATCCACCCCGTGACACAATTTTAATTAATTACATCGGCTAAACGTGTCATATCGGGCCGATATAAACGAATGACGTTCATTTGTATCACGTTAATTGACTAATTATTAAGTAAATAAAACTTCAATTACCGAGTGTGGTTAGGTAATAAAATTAATTTGAACTAACCGAACACGATGCTGCAGGGGAATGATTATCATTGCTCGAGTTACTGCCGAGATACAACGTGCATTTTAAACACCAATTGGTTGGCAGAATGATACTAGACTCTAGTGTGTTCTCGTGTTCACTGCAATTCGTTATTGAAGTTCACAAAAAATGACAATGAATGGATTTGTTTGGCTTTAGTTGAACTTCAACGCGTGAACCAAATGTACGTGATATAGTATTTCAGCAGTCAACAAATACAAGGCATAATTTACAAGTGTAAGTATGCAATTATTCAAATATGTTGTAAAAAATCAAGCGAATAGATAAAAGGAGAAAAAAATATTTAATCTTGATCCCTGTCCTCATTTTTTTTTTTTTTTTTGTTACAATGCAATTATATTGTGTGTCACCGACAGACTCGCAAACATTTTTGTTGTTTCTGCTTCCGGATCACAATTTAAATTAATACTAAGGGTTAAAATACCTTAATCCGTAATCGGTGAAGTGATCACATTGAAGGATTAAGGTATTTTAACCTCTAGGACTAAAAAATTACAAACAGTTTAATGACTACGTAGAAACTATACACATGTAGAAATGGCTATGGTACACACCAAGGTGTATTTTCTTTCAGGATTGTAAACGTATTGATTTGTATAACCCCCTTCAAGTGACACCTAATTTTGAAGTGTTTAAAAAAACTTAAAGAATAGTGAAAACTAGAGGTCGCTATCTCTTCTCTATCCAAAATGGTAGCCCGTCAAATGTTGTAGAAAATCAATGGTAAAATTAGTTTGTAATGGTAATATTGGCTACCATTTTGGATAGAGAAGGGATAGCGACCTCTGGTTTTCACCATTCTTTAAGTTTTTGTAAATACTTCAAAATGAGGTGTCACTTGAAGGGGGTTTACATTTAAAATATTTGAGTTACCCCCCCCAAATCCCCCCTTTTGGGGGGACACTCAAAAATTTCAAAATCATAAAATTAAACTTCCTGCTAAGATTGCACGACCACCAAAAGAATATCTCTGTATATTTAATGGGAAAAATATTAAAGGGGGGGGTCTTGGCTTTTTATTCACCCTGTATAACACATTTCTTAAAGCAGAAACGAAAAACAATATCCTGTTACACAATCAAACTAAATGTTCAAACATTATTTCGCAAGAACACATCTACAAACAACATGATCCAAAATAAACAGGTTCGGTTTACTCGGAGAACTATCGAAGACAATCATTTGCCAAGGCACAATATAATCTAATTAAGTGAGACGGTTGTAATCAAGGGATTGTGTAGGACGTACTACCTCCGCATTGATCCCAGGCTGGGACTAGTCCAGCTGTCCTCCGAGGCAGCTCTGGTAACGCACTGGTGTTTAAAAATTAAGGGATCACAGGCACGTTTTTTGTATGAAACAAGTTATAAAATTGGTGAAAGATTTTCATTAAAATTATGTTTGGTTACGTGAAAAGTGAGCGAGTTTGGTTTTAATATAAAAATAATCCATGACCTTTGTCCTAATATTATGTATAAACATATCGCTGTTTACTTCCAAATTTATATTACTAGTTGAAAAGTGTTTTTGACAAAACATTGAAATTTATGAAATTTTACACATGTAAGAAGCAGTTATTTCCTTGCAGATTTACAAATTCTTAGTACTCGAGTTTTACAGATTGATGTTCGGCGTTGTTAAATAATTAATACGATGAATTTAACGTACCACATTTTTCGGTATAATTTTATAGATTTTCCTACCAGTTTGATTTTATACTTAGGGTTAAGGTATACACTTTTTGTTTCTTTGTTTGAAGTTCATTGTTGGTGATGGTAAGTTTGGCCTAATGTTGTTCAACGGATTATTGCGGACATTTTACATCACGATGGTAAAAAACAAAACACAACGTTTGGGGATCTGGAATATGATCCCGAAAGGTTGTGTATCGTTTTTTACCACCGTGATGGAAAATGTTCGCAACAAACCTTTGAACAATAATATATTTATTTATTAATGTTTGACAAATCGCAAGGTCAGGCAACTATAACTTGAAATTACTTAAATTCTGGTTAAAACCAAGGAAAGATAAAAAACATCTACAGGGAGCGGCTGAAGGAAAGACATTCAGTATAAAAAAACGTTCTTTTAGGACAATATATATTTTTTAATTCAGGTTATCTTGGAAAATAATTATTATTTTAGTAATAAGGTTATCATGGCCGATTTGATATGAAATTTGTTTCTAAGTTAGCAGAAGGTCGTTTGAAACGTGTTTTAAGTTTACTAGCCTATAGAAAACTGGCTCAAATATGCTTTTGCCAATTTTCACTACAAATTAAAATAAATACTTTTGAAAAAATGCTCACAAGTCTGTACGAAAAAAGATAACATACAATAACATTTCAATTTCGATGCTTTCATAAAATGTATTTAGTACATTGAAACGTTTCAAACACGATGGAATAAAATTGAGGGAGATAAAAACGATTTGCTTTTATGTGAGTTTGCAACAAAGCGACGGAGAGTAAATAAGAAGTTCTGTGTGAACGCGCCATTAATTACACAAGAGATTGTGACAAAGTATCCTGATATATCTGTTGTCCTGGTGTTGGAATACATAAATACGACAAAGTATCCTGATATATCTGTTGTCCTGGTGTTGGAATACATAACTACGACAAAGTATCCTGATATATCTGTTGTCCTGGTGTTGGAATACATAAATACTCTGTCACATTCATATAATGGCCAGACGGGTATTAATTGTACATGCGAGTGTCATACTGTCACGAGATTGAGTATCTCAATGTGTTAAAAAACTGGTAAGAGATTATTTTGTATTACATCGAAACAAATACACACTTCAGTAAAAAAGTGATAACAAATCATCAGAAAAAACTACAATAATCGTTATGTTTAAATTGAATAATGCAATTTCTATTGCATTTTTGGGGTGCAATCTGGTCTAGAGGTAAAGCGTGAGACTTCGGTCACTGAGGTGTCAAGTTCAAATCCAGCCAAAGTTCACTTATGGATTTTATAAATGTGATAGTGCCGCAATCCCTACCCTGAAGTAATGTGAAAAGCATCCCGACTACAGTATAGTCCTGGACAATTTATTGTAAAGCCATACAGTAGGAGTAGAGGTTTATGGTAGTGTAATGACTGTCGATACTTATCATATTCCATACTTTGAATGGCATCTCATTAAATACAGTTAGTTGTCTAAAGTCGCAAAATAATATAATGATGATAAATCAGGTAAAAAAGCTGTGAATACGACAAAAAAATAAGGATGTTAAAATAGCACAAAACACAAAATGTACGATAAAATGTTATTTGATACTTCCTGGTAAACAAATTGGACATTAAAAATCTGTTGATTTGTTTTGATTAATCAAACCAATTTGTAAATATTAAACGCTAGCGAGATGGCTATGAAAGGTGGGTGTCATCGCCCATGCGGTTTCATATTACGTGGAAATACCGGTGAAATAGGCCGTTACGTGTTATTTGATTTATTTTTAGAGTATTTGATATTTAACAAGGAATGTTCAAAATCGACACTACTTTAATGATACGTGTTGGAAAAATCAAACGCACCTTAATAGGTTTCTATTTGATTTTGGCAGTGAATGTGACAGAATTAATACATAGCAAGGTACTTCATAATGCAAGATAACATACTTAGTAGATAAAATAACGTTCTCAATGTTTTACAGTTCTGTCTTACTATTTTTATATTATGTTATAAAGTCTACGTAGAAGCATTTCTGAAGATTTTCCAATGTTGAAGTAGTAAGTTTACCGAACATAACGCAGATGATGTTTGGTTTAGGTTTTGGCGATGTCAAAACAGTTATGTC